TCTCTTTCCAGAGTTTCCAAGAAACAAAAGGAAGGACCAGAGGAGGGTCTTTTCAATGTAGAAGTGTGGTTCTTTCAGCAGCAAGTGAAACAGAAAGGACAGGCTAGCTCGCATAAGAAGATGGAGGATGGACTTACATACAGGATTCAAATATTTAAAAGGATTCCCTAAAACGAAAAAGGATGAACAACATAGTTAGTGGGAGTCCAGATGCATTATGGGTATTTAAACATTAACCTCTTTCAGTTGTGCAGTATATTTTTTCCTAACTCATGGACAGGGAGTGGAACTTACTTAATTTACACCAGGGTGGGATCTGATTTAAATTAATTTAAAGGTTAAAAATCAGATTTTGTTTGACGATTTGAATTTTTTTAAAATGCTTTTTAAAAAAATTTAAATTGTGATATAAATCAATTTAAAAGAGAAGCACACACAATGAGACAGGGTGGGTGGAGGAGACGCCACTTCAGCAAGAGAGTGTGCTATCCAGGACCTTGCTGAACATCTTCTCTTAAGTTTTCAAATAAATAATAATTTATATGAAATATCGCCTGTTGGAGATGTTCCACATGCGAAGCTTTAAATGCTATTTTATTTAAATTGTTGGTAAGACAATAAAAAGGTATGTTGTCCTTCAAATACATCTGACTGACAAATCCCTTTCTGTTCCTCATACTGTACACACAGACTACTGACAACACAAAAAGGGGGGGCAAGCTGTTCAGTGTCTCGTGATGAAAAATTGTAAAACAAGAGACCTGAGCATGGGAATCAATGAGACCCCTCATGATTTTGAGATTCTTACCCCTCACTTCAGTTTCCTACCTGTTTCAGAGATCAATAAAAATAAATCATTAAAACAAAATCAAATTGATGCAAATCACGATTTAATTTTTTTAAAAATCATTAAAAATTTTTAATTGTGTTTTTACCTCAACAAAAGTATCACTGAAATCAGTTCCTGAAAGAAGAATTGGTCAGAGACATGACACCGCCTGAAGCAGAGGACAACATGATGACCAACCCTGCATGTGCTGCCTGAGACAGTTACCTCAGTCCTCCAGACACGCTAAAGACTGGCCTTTAGGTTTATTCAGATGATGCGGTGCTTCACACATCATGGGTTTTATTTTTTCCTACGTTGGAATAATCTCCAAGGAGGGTAAGGGAGAAGTACACTCCTAAAAAGTTGTTTGGGATATTGCACGCCTCTTCTTTTCACCCAAAGCTCCTGAACAATGTCCAATCAGTTCATGGCAGAGCCATAACTACCAATTTTGGTACAAAGAGCTTCACTGCCCGTAATTCAGCTTGGGTCACGTGAGATCGGCATACCTGGGGAAGAGAATGCAGGATCAGAGAGAAACGCCTGGCAGCAACCACAGCTTCCACACCAAGCCCACTAATCTTCGGTGTTCTTCTGCCAGGGACGAGCAACCAGGGGTGGTATATGTATTTGGCAGGTAGGTTTGACGGCTCGATTTACAGACTTTTCGAGTTACAGACTTCTCTGGCTGCAAAATTTAGATTCGACTTGAAGCCAGAGAATCAACTTACAGACCAGAAAAAAACCAAAATGGAATAAAAATAGAATAAAAACCACTGGTTATGGGATTAATCGGTTTGCAGTGCATTGTAGGTCAATGGAGATTCGACTTACAGACTTTTCGACTTGCAGCCACCATTCCAATATGGATTAATTCCTTAAGTAGAGGGTCCACTGTATGTATTTGGCAGGTAGGTTTGCCACGTTCTTAACACAATAACCAAAGAATGTGTTCATCTCTTCCAGCAGCAGAGTTTTCAGTAAGTGAAGATGCAGAAGCAAGTGTTGAGATAATACCATTTCTGAATCTTCTTCACCTATTAAAAAGTATCTCCTTCTTATCAGAAAATAGCACAACAAGACCTGGACTGGGAGAGGACTTTCCTCTAGGTTATCTAAGCTTTCTCCCCCTCTGGCAGAGAGTTTTGCGCACAGGGAAGGATTAAATAATGAAACACCATCTGAAGTGGTGGCGTCTACTCCAACTCATTTTGGTGAATGGATAGAGGAACATCTGTATCACCTTAATGCTGTTTCTGGTCATCTGATATGGATGAGCTGTGGAACAGGAGGCAGAAACCCAGGGCCATCATCCAGGAAACACAAACTATAAATCTAGCACAGCCTTTGCTAACACTGCGTGCGTAAACACCTCTGGCTCTAGTCCTCAAAAGCATAAATTTGTACATGTTTAAGATGCCAAAACGCTCTTTATTTCTTTCTGTGTGCCTCTCTTCTGCAATACTTGAACCAAACTAACAAGCACGCCTCCATTTCATGTTCAGAATTACTAAGGCCGAATAGAACTGTCGTTCCAACTAAAAATGTACACTGGAAGAAGAGAGAAAATGACACGTTTATCTGTTTGTAGTTATCTCTATGTTGAGTAAAAAGAAAAGGGAGCTTGATGTGAACTGTGAGGATGTAATGGTACCCATTGCATTAACTGAACCTGAAACTGCAGCTCCTAATATATTGAGCCCTGGGGGCTAGCCTAACTGTGCCATTGGTGCGGAAGGAAGGCATGGTGGCCACGGGGAGTATTTTTGTTTACAGTGGTGGTGACACATAACCGATTAATGCCCTCTGTTTCATACAGATCTTCCTCAATGTGTTATGATATGATCCAGAAGTTTACTAGGATGGGGAAATACCTCTAGGGAACCCTGGGTGACATTGTGCTTCATTCTTCATTTCTGTCACAGAAAAACAGGTATCACATAATGCTGAAATATGTGAATTGAGGCAGCTTTTTCTCTAACCAAGAGCGAGCCTACATTTCTTTCTTTCTGTCTTTGATCTTTACTTTCCCCCCTTTTTAATGTATATTTCACTCAATTTTAATTGCAATTCTAGCATGCCTTTCCTCCAATGGCCTCAGGCTCAAAGTGAAGCAGCATCTCCTTCCCTATGGAGGAAGTCAAGTTCAGAGAGAATGACACCCAGGGTCACCCCATAGGCTTCATGAGTTAGTAGGGATTAGAAATCCAAGCTCCCAAATCTCATTACTTCACACTATCTCTACTTGTATTGATCATTGGAGCAGAATTATAACCTGCTTTTCTCCTAGGAGACAGATGGCTGGATAGCTCAGTCATTTAGGAGCCAGAGGTTGGGAGCTCAATTCTCCACTGTACCTCCTGGAAGAAGAGCCAGCCTGTGTAGCCATGGGCAAACTGCACAAACTGCACCCCTCAGAAGAAGGGAATGGCAAATCACTTCTGAGTGTTCTCTACCTGGAAAATTCTGAAAGGGGTCCCCATAAGTCAGAATTGACTTGACGGCACATAATTATTGTACAGCTGGCAGGATAGCTCAGTGAGTTAGAGATCTGGCTTGGGAGCAGAGGTTGAGAGTTCGATTCCCCACTGGGCCTCCTGTGAGTAGAGCCAGCCTGTGACGCCAGAAGAAGGAAATGGTAAACCACTTCTAAGTGTTATCTACTGAGAAAACCCCAAAGAGCGAAGACATAAATTGGAACTGACTTGATGGCATTCAAATTATTATTTCTCCAAGGATTGGGATCCAAGATGGCTCTTAACAAGTTTCCCTACCTAGGTATAAGGGATGTGGTGGCGCTGCGGATTAAACCGCAGCAGCCTCTGTGCTGCAAGGTCAGAAAACCAGCCGTCGTAAGATCGAATCCACATGACGGAGTGAGCTCCCGTCGCTCGTCCCAGCTCCTGCCAACCTAGCCATTCAAAGGCATGTAAATGCGAGTAGATGACTAGGTACCACCACGGTGGGAAGGTAATGGCATTCCGTGTCTAGCCGCGCTGGCCACGTGACCACAGAAACTGTCTTTGGATAAACGCTGGCTCTACGGCTTGGAGACGGGGATGAGCACCATGCCTTAGTGTCAGACACAACTGGACTAAATGTCAAGGGGAGACTTCACCTTTACCTTACCTAGGTATATTTTGATAGCTAAATCTTCACTCTGTACTTGTCTGCTGGTACAGTTCATCTCCTCGCTTTCCCTAAAATTCACCAAGCAAAGTGTCTGCTTTTAATACTGTGCTTAAAAACAGTTGCAACGGATTAAATCTCTCTTAATGTGCACGTGAGGGAAATGCGGTCTTTCCAGACACGCTTGGACTGTAGCTCCCCTGATGTGCAACACTCCACCTCCACCGCAGCAGAGCCAGTGATGTGACAGGAGCTGACACTCCCACAAGTTCCTGAGGGCCACTCCTTCCTCATCTGCGCAAACCTGATGGTGATCCGTCTCTCTTCACAGACAATCAAGGCGGCTAACGGAAGGGTGCCAAAATGAAGCAGAAGTTCTACTCTATGACATGTTGAAAATATGGAACCCAAAGAGGCTTTGAGGCACTTGGGTTCGAAAAGCCAACACAGAAATGGATGGGCCTGTGAGTTGGAAAGTACCTCAGCAGTTTTCACCCACCCTCCACCTCTACGCTATAATGTGTGCGTTCGGGGGGGGGGTCCCATATTAAAGGGAAGGCCTGCAAGGGTGCCCCCTATTCCTGGTGGGAGATTTCCCCCCATTTCACAAATGAGGCTGTAAAACAGAAACCACCCGCCCCATGATCGGAGCTGATCGGTGTCTCCCAGGAGAGGGGAGGGGATCTAGGGAGGGGATCTAGGGGGAGAAATGGCTTTTAAAAAAATGGCCCGTTTTGAATTTTACGAAAGGAAACGTGCTGGCACCTTTTGTTTCACACCCCGCTGAGGAAAAAAAGGGGGGGAACTCTGCACATGCTCGAAAATGCACCTTCACTCGCTGTCCTGACTTCAAAGCCAGTGCCGGGCGGGGTAGGATGGTGGTGGGAATCAAGTATAAGAACCGGGAGCAGAGATGAAACATTTCTTTAAATATTCTTTTTTTCCGGAGGGGGGGGGGAACAGGGGAACATTTTTTTTCCGGAAAAAAATGGAATTTTTTTTTCCGGAAATGTTACCTCTCTCAACCGGGAGATCTACTTACCAGCCCCGAAGTCCACCAGCAGGAGATCAAGAAGAGAAGGCGAGGCGGGCTGAGCATCCCCGCCAAATGCAGGAGGGGGTCCCCGAGATCAGCT